ACCTGTACATATTATTTTCTTCCTCCTCTGTCTCCTATTTTCCTACTAAACAAATTGTAAGCATTGAAGCTGCATCTCCTGTCTCTGTTTCTAAGGACACAAGCTTTGTTACAATTTGCATATTAACAACGTTTCCTCTTTCCTTGATGCTTCCTAAGTTTTAAGAATATTGCTATGGCCCTTCCACCAGCGGGCAATACTCTGAAACTCTATATATTGTCTTTGACAATCTCATCACATCTGCATTTTCCTGTGGTTTCCTTCTTCTGGATTATTATTATTCTTATACTTCTTACATAGATTCAACATTTATTTCTTAATTTATGGTTAGAATCGCAACAGATTTTCCGAATTTCTCAGCAAACGCATGAATGTGAATCGATGCACATTTTTTTGCTCTGTTTTATTGTGTTTCGAAATCAACCTTCAAATCCCATAAACATGTAACACGCTAATGACAGCAATCAAAACAAAGATAGCATCCTGTTTCCTTGCCTCTGTATCTATATATATAAATACACACAAAAATCCTTGTCAAGACAATGAAAGACACGGTAATTTAGGATCATACTTTACATGATTTAATCCTTAACATTCTGGAGGTACCATCTCCAGAACGATTTCAATTAAAATTGAGTAATCTCTACATAGAATTGATCATTGTCCCCCCCCCCCCCAAAAAAAAAAAGTGCAGCTGAAGTTGTGGAGAAATTTAATTTTGTTTTGAGTAAGCACCCTGGTATCCTAACTAATGTTTTAAGGAATTACAAATCAGATTAATTCGAATCGAACCATGGTAGAACCCATATGGATAGCACCTCTACCACTCATAGTGCTACGTTTCCCAACGGATTGAGCCCCTCAGAAATTTGGTTCTTTTATTGTAAATTAAGCAACTTTTTGATCAATTTCATCAGTGCCTTTGAGTTTTTTTTTTTAAATGACGGAACCTGCAGCTTGCATCTGACAACTCTGCATATAAACAACCATGCGATACTCTTGCTTCCCCTTGGTTGTTTCTTAGTTGTATTTCTAATATTTTAACATATCCACGTGTACCTTCATTAATGCCTCCTATTTCTTAGTCGACAATTCAACATTAACAAATTGCAACTACTACAAAAGACTTAAAAATTCACCCTTTTAAACAAATAAATCCAACGGTCGGAAACTTCCATCAAGCTACACGATTTTAGGAGATCCCCGTGCACAGTGCAGCTTCTTATATATGTAAGACACCCCCCACTCCCCTGAGAGATAGCCAACCCAAAACCAATCTTCATCCATAGATATAACACAGAAGAATCTGAAGAAAAATGGTGAAGCTTCTGGTTCTCTGTTTTCTGTTGGGCAATATTGTAGTGGATGTGGCTATGGCTAGTGATAAAACTGAAGCCATGGCTGTTGGAGGGTGCTTGTCAGCTTCATCTTCAAATCCATCATCACCTACAGAAGCACCTTCTGTGGTAGTGATGAGGAAACTTGGTCCATCAATGGCGCCTGAGAGTGAAAAGACTAATTCTGTTGAAGAGAAGAAGCATTCTCAGCACTCATCATTTGATAAGTCAATAGCTGGAGGAGGAGTCATTCTTGGAGGACTTGCCACCACTTTCTTGGTCGCTGTTTTCTGCTATATCAGAGCCACTGCAAGACCCCATAATAATAATAATGCAGATTCTTCTCCTTCTTCCCCTTAAACCTTTCTTGTTTATTGTTGCTTCTTTTTAATACGTATTCGACAATGAACATCCATTTGTTGTAAAGATAGTTGGTGAATAGATAATGATCTGCAGCGAAAGTAAACAGCTTTTAGCAATTGTACTTATGATCTGCAGTGAAAATGAGCAATCTTTACTTCTATATATTCCTCAACTTTTAATTTTCAATACTTAATTGGTAAAGTCAAGAGAAATACTTAATTAAAACGCGAGTGCTGTGATATTTTCTTTTTATCTTTATCTTTTTAATACTACTCTTAATACTTAATATAAAAACTAGTTTGACTTTCAGTTTGATCCTAAATAATATAAGATTCTAATTCATTGTCTCTTATATTTATCTATTTTTTTTCAAAGTAATCCTTGTAGTAGTTGCAGATGTTAAATATTCAACCATATGATAGTTTTAGCCAATACGTGATTAATAAGGGTGTTTTGAAGAAGACAACATTTAATTATTACAAATAACCAACCAAACAAATTTTTTTTAATTTACTTAAATTAGTTAATTAATTCTTATATTAAGCGCCGGAGGTAGTATATTGAATGGATCTTTTGCCTTCCGTCACTTTTCTATTTCCTCTTGTGTGTAAACATTTTCTGATTCTTCCTGTGGCTATTCTGTTTCTTTTCTTCTTCATCTCATCTTCTGTGCTGAGACCGATCCCTTTCTCCATTTTGTCATTTTCTTCTATATCATTGCTTTGAATACAATTGTATGGGATTTTGGCATCAGAATCATATTTTTAGGATTATATTTTATTATTGACCGTTACAGGCAGCTCTCTTGAAGTGTCCCCCTTTTTGGCATTTTCAGACACTCAATCTTATTTAAAGGATATTGAGTTTATCATTAGTGTTAATTATACTATTTGTAGTTCTAATAGTTAGTTAGAGATACAATTTGATTCTAAATATGAGACCACAATATATTTTGCTTTCAATATTTGTCCATTTTGCCTCCAGATAATTTTTATGTAATTGCACATATTAAGGAGTTTTTATCAATGAGGCAACTTTAATGTGTATGATTGATATGAACATTTTAGAGAGAATAATATCCATTTATTATAAATAATTAATTTAACTAATATTTTTTAATATTTATAAATTAGTTATCTAACTCTTATATGAAAGATAAGAAGTAAATCATGACAAAGTTAATTCTTTTTCATATTTCGCAATTTACATGATTTGAAACCCCAAAGAATATCATGACCAAGTTGAATAACGAGTAATTGAGTAGATATTTTTTATCAGTGATATTTTTTTACAAAAGATTTTTTTATTAGAAATAATTCTATTCGAGATACTGTCATGTACTAAATATTAGGATTCGGACCTATATTATGAAAACGATCCTAGATATGATCCACGATTCATTCATAGAGGTCCTAACTCCTAACACCCAGTAAATTTCTCCAGCGCCTTAATTTTGAACCATCTCATTTTTTTTGGGCTTTCAGAATCTTAAAATGACCCAACCAAGCTGCTCTTGTTCAAAAGCCCAGAATGAAAAAGTTTGATTTACTTTCTTTCTACCCAAGATATGACGGAAGCAGATTCTCTCAGTGGCTTTTCCTCTCAGCGTCCCTCAGCGTCGCTGATCCTATCCATCCAATTGATCTTGACATTTCAGAAAGAGACACATCATCAAGCTTTTAAAATTGCATCTCCACCGTCCATTGAATCATAATCTTGACCGTCCATTCAATATCCCAACGAAATTCCCAGCGATCTGAGAAGGAAGTCGGAAATGCATAGCCCTCATCCTCATCCACCGGCGGGCTTCGTCGGACACCGCCGTAACTGTTCAATCTTGGACAGGTACCAAGCATTCTGTAAATCACTCAGTCTTGGACACCGTTGGACATTGTCGTAGAGTGCCCATCATTTCCGTTCCCATGGCTTTCAATCAGGTACCAAGCATGAAATTTCCACACTAGTTGTTACATCCCATATGCTGCATAGAACTTGTCAAGCGCAAATATTTCATTTCTCCGAAGCTTAGCCATTCCCAAACAGCTTCGACTCTGCACCTGATTCTAGCAGGGAACAAAATACTGGCTTATGATTGATCTAATCTTGAAGAGAGTCCATAAGAATCATTAAGCTGAGAAAAAGTATTCCCATGAGGAAATTTAAGGTTTTGCGGCTGTGGAAGTGATTGTTGCATCAATAATTGAAGTCTAGCCCCACCTTCAAAATAATTAAATTGTTGTACAAAATTTGATCTCGACAGGAAATAAAGAAACCATACTACAAAGTTAGCATCGCGAATCCATCTTGACAAAAACCCCAGTAGTGCCTATTTATTGGCTATCAAGTTATTGACTTGCAAATATTTGTGATTATAATTGCTTATCTCTTTTCAGGAAGCTGAGGAGAAATTTCAGCAATTGCAGAAACTGATATCAATTCTTGGTGGTAAAGTGAAACAGCCCTTTTATGTTCAGTCTGGTTGTGTTCAGTCAAGTGCCTATTTGGCCAGGTGAAGAAGAGAATAGCAATTATTTGTCTCAATTTTTCCATTTGTTTGCTCAAGTAGAAACACTTTTAAATGGACCATAATATGTTTTTCTACTGCATGAATGAGCAAACGATTAGAGCCTCCCCTAAAAGCAAAATGAAACGTAAAAAATATATGTTTAAAAGGAAAATGCTATAAATTTATTCAGAACGGTAACAACTAACAATAATGCAAAAAGCTTTAGTAGAAAATATGATGTCTGAAAAAGGCATTCTAATAAAAGCAGAAATTTTTCAATATCGCGAAGGAGATCCTTTTGTATTAGAATCGCAATTAGATTGAATGAATATATGCCCAAGCCAAATCGTCAAGATCCTAAGCACGTTATTTTTGACCAGCCCCTCCGCGATTTTGCACTCTCACGAACCATAGTTGTAGGGTTCCAAAATGCAATGTCGAAGAACCAAAGAAGCTCAATGTTCAATGAAACTACCTGTTAAGGGATATGGTTATTGCAGACAGTGGTCTGTGAAGAATGCATTAAAGGGAAGCTCGAAGACGGAGGGCTAAGGAGAGAAATTTTCCCGACAAAGGCAAGCGGAAGCTCCATTCTTAGATGGATAGAGATTTGGCAGAAATGAGGAACTGAAGGGACGGTCAGGATTATAAGAAAACGGACGGTGGATAAGCAATTTTAAAAGTTAGATGACGTGTCTTTTTTCTAATCGCTCAGATCAAATGGACGGACGCGATTCAAAGCTTCTGAGGGATAGAGAGAAAAATGACGCTGAGAGAAACCGGACCCAGATAGGACGGAGATGACCGCGTTCTCTTCCCGGCGCGCGCAGTCTCAATTTCTGGAATCTCCCAGTAACTTCGAACTGCAGCATCGTTATTTGTTCTTCGGTTCTTCCTCCTCTCTGAAACTCGTAAACGACGATGGCTAGCGACAAGTCGGTGATGGCCGTGATTAGGGCGGCGAGGCCAACATTTCGCAATAAGTTCGATAAAATCGCTTTTGCCGTTCACGCTTCCTTCCTTGCATCTGGTTATGTCCTCACTGCCACGGGTCCTCAGGCCGTTTCTGACTCCGCCCTTTCCAATCCCTCTACTGGTATTCACTTCTCCCAGTGTTTTTCTCTGTCTCAAAATCCAATTTACTTTTCCCTTCGCTGAATTTGATATCTGTGTGTAGATGAGGTGTCTGTTGATCACTGGAACGAGCTGGACGATGAGTACGCATTTGTTTACATGAACCCTGAGAAGGGTTCGAAGAAAGTTTTGGTCAAGTGCCTTGTGATGAATGATAAATTACTTGTTGATGCTTTGTCTGAAGAATCTTCTGAGCCCGCACATCTTGAGATTGTGTAAGGGATCTGTTTTTGTGGTTTGAACGACTAACTTTGAACTTCTGTTGAAAAATTTGACGGTTATGGGGCCTGTGTTTTCTGATTTTAGTGTTGGGGACCATGCTGGAGAGAATGGAAACGGCAATTATTCGGATCAATTCAAAAACTTGGATAAGCTAGTGAAGAGTCTGGACAAGGAAGTGTTCTCCAAACTGGAGGACTCCTCTAAACCTAGCCCATCAAGTAATCCTGGAAGGTAGGGAACCCCCCCCCCCCAAAAAAAAAAAAAAACCCCGGGGGGAATTTGAATTTTTCAACCTGTACCTGAATTTTGAGAGTTGAGGTCTCACCAGCTTAGGTTATTATGTGGGGAAAATAATCACCAAGAAGCCTGAATTGCATGAGCACCCTTACATTTGCAACTCTTTACTGGTATATTCTCCAGCCACCTAGACCCCAGTGGAAAAATAGTACTGAAATCCCGGCCTATATATGCTTGTATAAGAAAGTAGCATGAGAAAATTGGCTGTTATCCTTGTTTTGAATTTTTGGCTCTTTGAACTGAACCTTTGCTAATATATGAAGTTCATTTCCCCGTGAATGAGTACTGATATCCTCATTATAAAATTGTTTCACAGATCTTCTCACAGCTCAGAAACTGGTGATAGATCAAGGCCAGAAGTACATCAGCCTGACACTGGATTTCGTGAACCAGCTGGTCCTCGAATTCATCCTTCAGGGTAAGTGTCCGCATTGCTATACTGATTTTAATTTTAATCAGTTCAACATATGTTTAGATGCTGCCAGTGGATTTTTTTTTTTTATCCTGCCAAAATGCTGCTGGTGCATTGAATTGTGATTCTGTAACACAGCGAACCTCTCTCTCTGCCTCCTGTGTGTTGCATATCCTGGAGGGAGGAGAAACTGTGAAAGCCTTGTATTCAAATGATATAAACCGGAATCAGACTTTGCCTTCGGCTTTCCTGCTAAGATTTTTTTTTTTTTTGGGATAAAAAAATGGACTTGTTAAATTTTGGCAGCCCTGAAAAGTTACTGTCTGTGGCTAATGCGACCGTTGTCCTTTACGGACTGAATTTAAACCAATCGAGCCCACCTTGTAGGAAGAGATACTGAGCATGTTTGGTACACAGTGAAACCTTTTGGAATCAGAATATGAATGGAATAGTTACTCATATAGTCATATTCCAGTTCTTGTCATGTCCGTTCCATTTGTCCTTGTGATTTTTATATGGATTAATCATGAAATGAGGTCATAATTGTGACTAAGATTAGCTGATTGCCTGTTCACCGTAATCAATGGTCCCGTTTAGTACGAAGCATTGAAAATGAGGGATACGAACTATGATCACAATTAAAAAAATCATTAAAAAAAATCTTTAACATAGGTAATTGCTTATTATATGGGATTAGGCCAACCCATGGAGATAGGATTGGGAAATACTACTTCTCCTCGTGGTATTTCTCAATCCATATACATGGTTTTGTCTAATCCCATGTAACAAGCAATCTCTCATGTTAAACACTCTTTTAATAGATTTTCTTAATCTCAATTTCAATCCTTATCCCTCATTTTTAATGTTTCGTACCAAATGGTACCAATATTCTTGCATGGCCAGTCCCTCTTGCTCAGGGTAGAATGGTGATCGCTATCTCTATGATGTTAAGGCCTGGAAAGCAAACATGTCTTTTCTTTCCCCTACGAAACTAAGAGTAAAGGCATGGTTCGTATAGAGGCAGTTGGTTGCAGGAATAGACGTGGGAACAGAATCACAATTGCATGTGTTAAATGTTACATTAGTTAAGCTCTGACCTTTGAGAACACGTGAGCTTGTGTATCTTTATGTTCTCTCAGGCTATTGAGGTCAATGCTCCTTTTATACGTATATGCCTTGGAGCAGTTGATTTCATGTGTGCCATGCCTTCTTGACTATCACTCTTTTCCTCTTCAAAATTTACATGGTCATAATAATTATGTCTAACTCAATTTTAACAAGAACTCTTTGATAAGTGACTTGTAAATTTCCATTGATCATAAGTTTGCATTCTTGGTTGTCATTTCCTTTGCAGAGTTATATATCCCCCCATAAATTCCGGTGGTGTCAGTGATCTGTACCCTGGGCCTGGTGCTGGAGTTTACCCCATGAGGTATCTCTCTCCTTAAGCCCTTATATTATTTTCAGTCACCGTTCTGAGCTATTTTGGTTGCTGTTCTGACAATTCCTTTTTCCCCTGAAAATTCTCTACTGGTATATAGGGGCAATCCTGGCACTGGTGGGAGTATGCTTGTAGGTACGTATGAGCTATGTTGTATCAATATAATTGCAAGTAATTAGGTTCTGATTGTCACTTCTTAGATAATCATGATTGTTGTTGTGTATAAATGCGGAAGCAGGGCCTAACGACCCGCGTTGGTTTGGAGATATTGGTGGAGAACCTGGTTTTCCAGGGGGACAACCGTAAGTATTATTTTGCCCTTTTCCACCATTGCTCTCCCTCTGGCTTGGGGCATTTTCGTCGCTATGTTTTTTATTGTATCTATCCATCTAAACAGGGGTGTTCCTCCGGGTGCTCGATTTGATCCATATGGTCCCCCTGGCGTTCCTGGTTTTGAACCCAACAGGTTTGCAAGGTATGGGAGAATGGATAAATTATTTGTTATATGACAGCAATGAAGTCATCTGTTGTTTAACCCTTTATAAAAGGCTCTTGATGAATACGTTTGCTTTTTCTTCTGTTTTATGGAGTATTTCATTAACCTAGGGTGTTAAAGGTGAAACAAGTGGTAGAGGAAAATTGAATTTGGGGGGAAAAACAAAGAAAGAAAGAAAGAGAAGAAAAGGATTGGTGAGACAAAGGGAAACAGTTGTAATTTGATCCCTTAAGTATTGATTTTAATCATTGTATAGAAGTTTAAATGCTATTGTGTTTGGACTAAGTAGTACTTATTGACAACTTGATATCACTTTCCTTTGGAAAGATCTGGTTGTGCTATCAAACACGGAAGTATGCACTAGTTTTGTTATTAATTTCTAATCAGGTTATTAGATGCTGAATGCTGATAGGTCGTTAGACTAACACACTTTTTCTTTTGTATCCGATAATGCAGGAATCCTCGGAGGCCTGGGCAGGACACTCATCCAGACCTGCAACATTTTCGGAGAGATTCGGATTTCATTTAATGCTGTGTCGGACGCTAATATCTTTGCTCTGAAAGTACCTCCCCCCCCCCCTTCCTCCTCCCCTTCTTTTTTGATTAGTTATTGACTTATTGTAATTAGCTAAGTGATTGGTTTTGTTGCCAGAAGTTTGTGGTCTTCACTTCAGTTTTCACCATTTTCTGTACCCACAAGCACCATACCAAATTAATTATAAATAAATGCAATAGTATTTTAATGTAAATTTTACGTATATGTACCGATCAATCACTGCTTTATATTTCTTCCTTTTCTCTATCCGCGTAAATTGAATTCGCCCAACAATGTCTGCCATCCCTCTGGCTAGAGTGACAATCTTAAAGCCATCTTTAAAGTCTGCTTGGAACATGAAACCTACACTACCGTATTGCTTGTTTTGTGGGCGAATAACTGCAATATTATTCTGAACGACTAGTTTAAGACAGAATAATTTCTCGTCGGCCAATCAAATAATATTAATATCCAATATATTCATTATCAACATCAAATTTGTAATATTTACTGAACATTTATATTTGGTTTTTAAAATTTTATATAATCAATAAAAAAAAGTATCTATTGGTAACCAAAAAAATTTAACACTTTAATTGAATTATTTTTTATTAAAAATGTTTATTTAATTTATGTAGCGAAAAACTTCAGCTGTGGGGATGTAGCTCAGATGGTAGAGCGCTCGCTTAGCATGCGAGAGGTACGGGGATCGATACCCCGCATCTCCAACGTTGGGTGTTAACTCCAGCTTCATGTGTTTTGTGGTTGTCATGGCTCGTCTATTTAACTTTCATTATAATTGTTTTAGGCTTGCATCCAGCAGTGGGCGTGCCGGAGTGGTTATCGGGCATGACTAGAAATCATGTGGGCTCTGCCCGCGCAGGTTCGAATCCTGCCGCTCACGGCCTTTTTACCCTCCCACTTTGTTCCTCACGCACCATGCCGGTCTATATTGCATTCAATTTTCCAACAAAATTGTTTTCCAAAATTATTTTCCGATAAATTTTTGCACTTAGATATAAATACAAATAATAAATTTATACTACCTCCGGTCTTTAATATAAGACCCTGTTTGACTTTTATTTTGGTCCTAAATATAAGACCACAATCCACTTTATCTCTCATATATATATATTTTTCCAAAGTAGCCCTTCTAACAACAATAGTTCTAGTCAATATACTTGATTAGTAAGGATATTTTAGGAAAGACAATATCTATTTAGGACAAATAACTAATTCAATTTACTTCTTTAATCTCCTCAAATTAGTTAACTATCTCTTATAATTAGGACCGAAAGTAGTATAATATAATACATAATATAAGAAAATAAAATAAATCTCATTCTTTTGTCCAACCCAAAACTGGCATGTAATGGAGAGAGTATAAAAAGGGCGTAGCTGACCAATTCCAGTTCAGTAAGTATCAGCTGTCGTTGTTCTCTCCGGTGCAAACCAAGTGGCAGTTTTATTTGGCATTCTATATAATTAGATTTTGAATAATAAAACTTGAATATGATAATGATAGGTCATGGGTTCTAACTTCTCAGTTCAGCTGAAGCATAAATACAACAAAGGGAAGGGCCCAAAAGAAGGTAAAGGGTCACCGACCTTCTGAGTCCTCACAGTAATGGAGACGTAATTAAGTGGAAAACGTGTGTGATCTTCGTCTTTCGTTCCCTCTCTCTTCCGGGAAGCCCATAGAATCAGTTTCAGTATTCATTCATAAACGTCTTAAACTCATCTGATTTAAATTGTCTACATCTGATTTGAATAGTCTAGATTTAAAATTTTTAATTAATTATTTTAAATAAAAATATTTTTTAAAAAATATATTTAAGAAATTATTTTTATTTTAGATTTTATTCATATTAAAATAATTATTTTAAACAAATAAAAATAAAAAAATCAAATCCAGACCATCAAAATAAGATATAGACGATACAAATTTGATGAGTTTAAGGGGTGTTTGGATAAAAACCAAATCATAATTTCAGAAACGCTTTTACGGTTTACGAAATAAATATGTGAAGGAATTTATTTCGTTTTGCTAAAAAATACGTCTGAAACCATGATTTGGAAGTTGCCAAACATCCCTTTAAACTGATTATCAAAACAATAATTACTGGTTCCGCTTCCTATCCTTTCCCTATTCATTACTTTATTACTCCCACCAAAAATCCGGCCCCACCTCTTTTTTAAAAAAATAAAATTTCCCAATAAAATATTGTCTCTTCTAGATAAAGCCCTAACTTTTATTTTTCTCTCATTGGTTGGGACTACCACCATAACCACAATCATTTATGGTTTGGAGACTTTCCGCGCAATTCCCTTTTGCCTTTCTCTGGACTCTATAAGTCCACCATCTCTGCTTCATCTTAAAACCCTCTTCTGAGGGTTTTCTGTATCTGGGAGCCATCATGAGTATCAATAAGTGTCCTTCTCTGCTTCTTCTGCTCCCTCTTCTTCTCGTCTTGGCTTCTTCAGTTTCACAGAAACCCTCCGTTGCAGAAGCAAGACCACTCTCCCTCAGATCCCATCTTCAAGGTAATCCTCTATATATTTTCTCATTCTTTTTCTGAGTGCTTGTTTCTGGATTTATAAGCACAGATCAGTTTTATTTACTTGACATAAGCTTATTTTTGTGTTCTTGGTTTGGTGATTGTTATAGGAGGCTCGCAGACGCTGACCTTGGCTTCACTTGGAGTTGTCTGCAAGTGTTGTGATGGGATTGAAGGTGCCTGCACAAGCACATGGACAGATTCTTGCTCTAATTTACAGTGTTCTCCATGGAAATATCAGACTAGCTAGTTATTATCTTCTGTGAATTTTCTGGTTGTTTTTTGTTTCGGAGGAATCAGGGATACTATATATAGAAATATCCGAATACCCCCCTATTATATACCTGCGTACTGTGTAATTTTTGTGAATACTGAAAACTTTGTCATAAGCTAATTCAGGAGTTACTTTTTGTGGGTCTGCTGGATTAGATTGTATGTCTTTGAAGACCAGCAAGAAAGTTTACAGAATACTTTAGCTTGCAATTTCATTTATGAGTTCAGAAAGGCATAAGGGGGAGGGGAAGAAGGGTTTTCAGATCCTGTAGTTTTTAGAGTAAACAAGACCAACAATAATTCTCTTTAACAAAACTATAATTTTAAAAGTTTTTTTACAGTATACTATTTTTCTCGATTTGCGGATATTTTTGGTATTACCCAGACGCTCCATTAATCTTTTTTTTTTTTTTATGAACTAAATCACTGCAAGTTCAGGTTGCGGTCTTTCTTATTTATATAAAAAGTAGCAGATTTTCTGAAATTATTACTCGTTTATTATTATTTAACAATGGGAATAATAGTCATGACGAAAGTTAAAACAAATTTAATATTTAAGATCTAGAAACATTGTGACATCAGGCATGATATCTATGCTACGAAATAAAATAATCCCTGCAAAGGCTAAGTTCTTTTCATCTGGTCGGTCCTTTTTAAATTGTATAATTATACACAACTTTAAGACATGATCAAACAGCTAACGTTTCTTGAAACCAAATATTTAAGTATAGACGCCCTTTCTCATGAGAGTTGGGAAAGCAGAGACAAAAAAGAAAAAATTCCATCAAAAGCTGATTACGGGTTTATTTGGATCACTATTTATAAAATTTATTTTTTTAACCAATTTTTGGAGTATAAATTAATTACTGTAATTACTGATGTGTCAGCCGTATCATCGCTGTTTTTTTTTTTTTGGGCCAGCTGCATCAGCAAGTAGTCAATACTCAATACTCAATGGAGTCGAAAACATCAAAACCGTGAAAGGAGAATCATTTAGGTTCGGGTCTAAACTTGGGAGGCCTTTGTTTAGCCCATTGGGCTGAGAGTATAAGACCCAGGCCCACGACATTGCTGGTCAACTATTTGGAATACCTTCCAAATTTTGAAGATGTGGAACTAGCATTCGATGTAGAACTTCGACTGGCAAATTAGAATACACACACAATATATCGATGAAGTATTATGATTAAAATTGATGGGAATTGATAATTAAAGAATCCTAATTTATATTATCGATAGAAAAATATTATAAAAAAGATTGAAATTTCCTTCCAACACTAACTAGCCAATCATGGAATGAGTGATAACTTCATGAAACATGCAAGATAATGATCACTTTAGGGAGCAAAATAACGCATTAGGATCTGAATGGTAAAGAATAACATTAAAAAAATCATAAATTTTGTGAAATGATACAGATAGATAAAGGTTTTTGAAAATAAATAAATAAATTGATGAAAATACCACTACACGATTGGCAACATAATTCAATTATAACTTGAGGAAGCTCGGTTGGAAAAAAATAGATTGTCATTAAACTAACTTCTCGAGTGTTTGAATTATATCTTCAATGAGTTTTAACAAAATTTTGACAATTAACAATTGTAACTGACAAAATTTTCACAATTTACAACTTATGTGCAACTAACATAAATTGCCAACTCTTTAAAGATATTTTTGTCGATTTGATTTTTTAGCCTTGATCCTTCTGTCTCACTTCACAAATTTAAAATATTTATCCGTCGTTGTTCAAAAGTTGTTTAAGTCAGTCGTGGATGAAGTGGGTCTTCTTAATTAATTGAGTCAACGGTACCTATCAAAGTTAAGGGTAACCAGGCGGATCATAGGTGCCTTTTTTAGTTGAACAGTCATTTGACTTCAAAATGCTTTCCGACCATTTTGAAACATGTAGCCTTATATAAGAGTATATAAGGGTCTTACATTTAGAACCGGAGGAGTAATTTATAAGTCATTAAACTAATAATCTTATATTAGCTAGCGTGCTCTTCAAAAGAATGAGATGTTACTTTATGGTCGGTTAGATATTAATTATACTAAATGTCATATTATTTAAGACTTTATGCACTTTATCTCATTTCTTAGATAAATTTCATGGAGCATTTTAAAGCAAGAGTCCTTAGGGTGTAAAAAGCCAAGAATTCGGGATTTTTTTTTTTTTTTTGCCAACAAGAGTTCGAGAAATATTTCAAGTCTTTTTCTTATTTTACTCTTAATATTATTACTTCATATTTTGCAGTTTTTTCCCACTTCTTGAACTAGAGACTGTGAAAGAAGTGATATCGAGTGATTTGGATCTCTTGAATTCATAAAAATTAATAAATACACTTATACTCCCTCCTACTCAAAAGGCAAGTATTTTTCTAAATGCACTATACAATATAAATATATTTACTTGACTTGGAAAGTAAAATTGGAAGGGCAAACGAGAGCAAGTTTAATTAAAAGAAATCACTCTTGTAATTTTTTTTTTAAAGTAGTATTATGAAGAGAGTAGTTTATCCTTATTATAAGGTACTCCTCCGGTCCTTATTATAAGACCCAATTTGACTTTTTATTTGGTCCTAATTATAAGACCCAATCCATTTTCTCTTTTATATTTATGCATTTTTTTCCAAGATAATCCTTCTAATAATGATAGTTTTAGCCAATATACTTAATTGGCAAGGATATTTTAGGAATAACAACACTTATTTATTATAAATAACCAACTTAACTTACTTCCTTAATCTCCTCAAATAAGTCAATTGGGTCTTATAATTAGGACCGGAGGAGTATTTTATGAAATATTTATTGCACCTTTTATCTATTGTTACTCCGTCTGCCTTAAATATAAAATATAATTGATAGATGTGATTTTAGCGCTAAATATGGTAACTTGATCGACTTTATACCCCTCATTTAATATTTTTGTCCACATTGCCTTCAGTAATTTCATAATTTTCCATACTATATTTTTTTTCTAAATTATCATTGTTAAAATAGGACTTATTTTATAAAAATGTGCATAATTATTATATAATTATGACTAATAACTAGCTTAAATCAACTAAACAGGTCTTATATTTATGGCCGAGAAGTCATTTATATTTCCTAGAATTGGTTTTTCCATTATCTCAAATGATATGGTATGATTCCACCAACGTCATAATTTGTTGAAGGACTTCACACTAATAATGATCTTATGCAACCCATTACGTACGGCTAATATCAATTCACTTTCACTTTCTTTCTTTGTTTAAGAGTGACAATATGTTACGTAAGAAAGACCAACTTCCATCGATAGATACCAAACCGCCGTGTCTTTAGTGTCATCATTACATCTTATTTAGTTTTATATGTAAAGTATTTTCATACTAATTCAAGTTCTTGATAACTATCATGAGCTTTTGATTTGTTGCATGTAAGTGGCTTCTGCAAATGATTATTGTAGACCACGAGATTCCGTACGTGTTTTTTTTTAAAAGGAATATATGAAGTGCTTAAGGTTGGTCATGATAAGAAATGTGAATATGCAACACTTTGGTTATATTATGTAGATAATAATTTATGGAGTCATTTTGCTAAATCAAGAGAGGAAAAAATGATCGAAGTCATGCAACTTTTTTTTTTTTTTGGTTTAAATACTCTTCACTTCAATATTGTACTCGTCAATTTCTTCATCTTCTGACCGGCAAAAAAACATCATATATACTCATGTTCTGTTATTTATGGTTATATATTACGACAGCTCAATTTTGTTTAACAAAAAATCAAACTTGATAATCCCTTATTATCTATTACAACCCGTCTTCTGAAAAAAAATTTGTGTTTTATTTTATAAGACATTTTGCAGAATGTCGAGACTGATTAGTTTGTTCATTCCAAAAGCGTCAGATAAATAAAAAATGATTTATATATAGACCAAAAAGATGAGAATGTTTTAAGAATATCAACAGTTTTTCTTAGTATGTGGAGAGATAGTTAATAATAACTTATACTACCTATCCTTTATTTCGATATTTTCTGATTTCTACCCAACTAAACCTCATATCAAAGATAAGCATTAACTAATTTTGTCCAAATTCTTTAATCTATAGTATAAACTTATTATTATAATAAAAAAACAACAGGGTTTTTTTTTATATGTACGTATTTAATTGACATTGACATTACCGTCAAGTGTTTAATAATAATATGGTGTAATTTGCACCATAAAATACTCATATGAGCTGACATGACATCGTTTTGGATCTTTGTGACTCGTAATTTTCTTTGTTTTTTTTTTTGGTGGATTGCTTTATTGTGTGGATGTAAATGATTTAAGAGGAAGTGGGAACTTCAATCGTCATTCATCAACATAGTTCGTACCCAATATTGGCCACGCAAATGTACTTCGGCTTTTGGATGTTTGAGTTTGAGGTTTGACAAAATAGGTATGAAGATCCTAAGTTCATGATTCCATTCCAAAATGCTCAGTTTCATACATTTCTTTTTGAATTATATGTTTAAATTTCCTTACACCAACCATCCCAAAAGTTACCTAGACAAAATGTCAAGCTTGTTTCAATGCCCATGTGTATCAAATGACAAATAAGAAAAGAAGATTCCATTCCACCACCACATGTAACCCCAACTGTAAATGCTTCTTTGCCTAACTTGTAGTACAATATTTATTTTCGTCAAACACTCAAAAGAAAGGGATTAATGTGCAAATCTACTCATAAAATATTCCGTCACGGAACACCCATCTAGCACTATAATTTTTCTTAGATGTAAAAATATACATTAATTTTTGACAATAGTGCAAAAATACTATGGCTATTAAGTGAATTAATGTTGATTATTTGCAAACATGTCAATGACTAAAATGATATAAAAATACAAATAAAGTTTTCAAAATAATACAAAAATGTCACCGTCATTAAATTAACCAATATTATTTGTTCAACAAATAGTCCCCACATAATTTGCATAGCATTTTCACTCCCAACGGCCCTTTCTGCTACTGTAGGGCCTTCTTTAAGACGTAATGGCTCCACCTTCTAGGTTTTAGAGCAACCCATTCCTGCCTCTCCATCCATCTTTTTTTTTTTTTTTTGGGTTTCCTTGTAGTAGATGATTTTACCTTAGAGCTAACCAGTTGCAAATTAGGGTAATTATTATTCTTCTGATTTTTAATATTAATATAAGACTTAATTATTAAGTTAATTTTG